AATCAACCTAAGTCTTCTGATTGTCGCTCATCATTTGTGGCATTTATGTCATCTTTGTTCACAATCATCATACCAAATCTTCATTATTATTGCCATGAAGTCCAGTGCAAATACTTTATACCTCTGTAATTCCATGTAAAGTAACACAGGCATGGACAGGGTCGTACGTCCCTACATGCAAAGTTCTCCAAATTTGTGGGGAGAACACATTCACTGTTGCCGTCATTATCAATTTCTCTTTCCCCCAATCATCTTTGTTTGCTGCATCATTCTCAATGACTTCATTAGTCCCACTGAATTTTATTTATCAACATTGGCATTATGACATCTTGGTACCAGAGCAAGTAATATTGAAGTAGTTTTCATGTTCACATAAGTTAACTAGTATTCGTTCATGCTAACGTTTCTAAGCGTTCTTGTGATTGATTAGTTTTTGTTTATGTTTTGTGGGAACAGGTGAAGACAGATCTTTCTAATGAGTTGTCAATGACAAAAACTGAGCTAGGATGGTTGGACACTGCAATGCTGTTTCCGTATGCTACAGTTCAGGTAGAGATGAATCTAGGCATAGGATCAATGTACACTCAGTATGCCCCCAATGTTTATAACATTGTTATGCCTAATGTTGTTGATTAGAAAAACTGTTGTTAACTGTTGTTAACTGTACAGATGGCACAATGTCTGCATCATTACGAGGATTGTAGGTCAACTCACCCCCCTGACCGTCTCGCCTCTTACCATCCTGCCCCCTAGCCAACTCGCCCCCTGGCCAAGTCGCCCCCTTGCTAACTTGCCCCCCCCCAGGAAACTCGCCTCTTGACCAAGTCGCCCCCTCAGAGAAGAGTCCACTGGTTTCCAAAGTGATGTCCTAAGTGCAGCTCTGTTGCACTGGAAGGGTCAGTAATTTTAAAAAACAAACCATTAATCGTACTGCAGAGAAAGAACACAGAGACTGCCCTTAATTGTGCACTATCCAATTCAATTTAATTAAAAAGTTCAATGCAGAATTGTAATTAAACTATTTTCCAGTCTTGATGGTTTGGCATGTGTCCCTTTGTTTTATTCTTTAACAAAAGCATTAACTAAAGTAAGCGTACTTTATTATGATAAAGTTTAATTATTAGGCGTATACAATTCTCTGATATCTTCAACAGTTTCCCTTCCGCCAGGACACATTTTTTCACTTTGAAAGTTGAAATTTAGCTAATGTCCCAAACCAGCGGTTTATTGAATAATTCAATACCCTGCCTTCTGTAAGGTCACTTAGAAATGTGGTTAAAGGTTCAGCCAGCTAGCGGACTCTCCTCTGAGGGGGCGACTTAGTCAGTAGGCGAGTTTTCCAGGAGGTGAGTTGGCAAGGGGGTGACTCGGCTGGGGGGGGCCACTCGTCTGGGGGGGGCGAGTTGGCAAAGGGGTACGATGCTAAGGGGTGAGACGGTGAGGGGGTGAGTTGGCAAGGGGGCGAGTCAGTAAGGGGCGAGTCGGCCAGGGGGCGAGTCAGTAAGGGGCGAGTCGGCCAGGGGGCGAGTCAGTAAGGGGCGAGTCGGCCAGGGGGCGAGTCAGTAAGGGGCGAGTCGGCCAGGGGGCGAGTCAGTAAGGGGCGAGTCGGCCAGGGGGCGAGTCAGTAAGGGGCGAGTCGGCCAGGGGGCGAGTCAGTAAGGGGGCGAGTCGGCCAGGGGGCGAGTCAGTAAGGGGCGAGTCGGCCAGGGGGCGAGTCAGTAAGGGGCGAGTCGGCCAGGGGGCGAGTTGACCTGATTCCTTTATGAGGGTCTTCTTGATATATCAGCCTGAATCTGCAATTTAATAAAGACATTTGGAAGCGAAAATTTCAAAATCCTGCAAGACGTTAGGGCTGTGTACACTTTTAGGTATGCCCTTAGCCTACTGGTGGAATATAGAAAGGGTTTGGCAACAAAACATGATTCTGACAAACAAATGGAGTCTGGATTCATGTATGAAGTGGAAATGGTGATAAAGAATCCCAAATTGGAAGTAAGTGCTTTCTTGATTTTATCATTTGTCTAGATTGTGTTTGGATCCAGTGCTGATAAGTATGGTCCTCGTAGGACACTCGCTGTCTGCCTCTTGATATCAGCCCTATCTATGGTAAATCTACGTTTCCTTGCAAAGTCAGTTTAGATCGACTGTATAGCTTAATTGTTGAAGGAACTGTTTCAATAAAATCAGGGGAAAAAGAACGTCTTTCTAGAAATGACATGCAATTTTGTATTAAACAGTTTGACCTACCAAAGATAATATTTTGAAATTTGGATTTGATACTCAAAAGCATTCATCGTTTGTTAGAACATGAAAGATAAACTGTGCGTTTGATTTCTACCATTTATGTAATCAGTTTGTAGTGTTGAGTTTTCTTTTCCTTCTATTTTTAGGCATCTTTTGGTTCGTGGCAGAGTTTCTACGTCTATGCTATCCTTTTGTTCATCAATGGAGCTGCCCAGGTTAGATGGCATGTGATGTTGAATGTATTTATGTGGTCTGTTTAGATGAATGTATACATGTAAATCAACAGAATAATGCAACTTACTTGGCTCATGTACATTTAATTGAAGCTTTGATCTTAGATCTCAACCAATCACTCTCAGTTTACCTCATTTTGTGAAAGCTTTTCATAATAATCGTCCAAAATTCCAATTCCTGTATGGAACATACCGGTAGGTTCAACCTTTGCTTTCTTGTTGATTGTCAACTAGTTCACAATTGTCTATCCTTATTGCTTGTAAGTTTCACGGTGAAATCATTGAATAACCTAAAATTAAGAAACCTGTTAAATATGTATTGTGATTTCAACTTGTAGTCAAAAATATGATTTTCCTTTTGTTTGTTATGTTAGATCAACACCTTCAAAGGCGGAGCTAATGTGCTGTGTGCTTTTCTCTTTTTTTTACCCACATCTCTTCAGTCACAGGCCTGGCCTAGTTGCGTCAAGGGTCTAGGAGTCTGGTATACCACCCAACATCGCAATGCAATCTTTGGTATTTGGGGGACTTGTACATTTGCTGGAGGAGTCTTGGGAACTGCTTTGGCAGTAAGTTGAGGATAGAAAAGATTTGTTTGCTTAATATTGTCTCATCATTGACTTTGTTGTCTCTGCACCTCGGAGAGTTTCTCAATACTATTTTTTTTTTGAGGCAGCTGTTGTTTATTTCTTTCTGGTACCCTAGCCATACATCCTTGGCTGTAAATTTTATAATTGTTCTGCAATATAACCAGGATGATTGTGCGAGAAGATAGTGATGAAGAGGGATGGATTATTTCATTTTAGGGGAAGGGATTTGTTCCCCAGCCCCCATTAAAATTCTCAGTGCTCCTCCTCTTACAAAATAGTAAATTTTGCCTCAAATAACTTGGAAAGCATATGTGGTCTCTGTGACCAAATTCGATGCAGAGGCCCTCTGGTGAACTCTCCTGTACTACTGACTGCTTAGCATACCACTCATGGAAAGACATCATACTCTAAAGAATGACTGCAGAGTCCGATAAAAATGCATTGAAGGGCCCATGAAAAGCAGTTTTTATCATTGCAATTGGAAAATTATACGTTTAAGAAGATTTCCTGTAAATAAAAGTCATTTTAGTAATTGATAAGAGAAAAATAATAATACAGAGCGTTTGCCAAGTCCAAGAAAAAAACCAGAAAAATGAAGAGGAGCCTTAGAGAAGCGTGAACGGAAAAGGGTACGATATTTCCACGTATGCTGCCGCAAAGGAAGCCATGCGTGCTTACTCTGGGTTTCAGACGGCCAAAATGGCACCAGACTACGATTTGCTGGTTCTTAAACGTATGTCACACCGTTTGTTAGAGATTTAAAGGGGGGTGTTTGAAAACCAGTAATTAACAATAATTCAATACATTTTATTCATTTTTTTCACCAATTGTACTGTGACTGACATATCCAGGCACAACATAAAGAAGAAAATGGCTGTTCGTTCGGGGAGGTCCGCATGGACCCTTTAAGTTGAATAGTAAATTATTATTCACGACAAGAAACAAGTTGAAGATTCTGCAAGCATAAACTTTGTTGCTATGGTTCTGTTGTATGATTTACAAGGTTCACCTGCAGACACATCATGGTTGGAGACAGGCCTTCCTAATTCCATCATTGCTACTTGTAAGTAAAAACTTTATTTGAAAAAAACCTTGATATGAAATGCTACCGGTAATTTAAATTTCTCAGGTATATCTTTTTGGCACTATGTTATGAGCTCTGATTTTAGCTCCAGTTGAATTCATCCTGAATTGACCCTTTTTACATTCAAGTGAGGCTTAGCTTGTACTAGGCTAAAGCAGGCACTTTCTGGACTTTGATAACATGTGTGAAACAGTACAGTACTTTCAACAAATTTTCAATTTAAATGAATAAATATTTGAAGCATGCAGTATGTGCCTATTGCCATCAATTACACTCTGTCATATGTTTGCATCATACTGATTTCTGTTCATACCTACAGATAGTCAAAATGCATAGTGGGTTAGGCCATTTCAGGTACCATCAACACTAGACACGGACATGATCAAACTGTACGCATCCCCACTGATCTGTTGAACTTCCTGTTTTGTCTGATACTTTTTCAATATGTGTTTTTGTTGACATTCATTCATTTTTTGCTCTTTGACCTCTATACAGAGCGGATTAGGCTTGCTGGTTTTACTGTTTTTGCACACTCCGTCAGACTATCAAGTCACCATCCCAGGGAAAGGTATGTTGCTGTGTAACATGTAGATGATGATTCAATATGACAGGTTCTCTAGATAATATCAGCCCCCCATGATTGATTAGGCACCTTTTCATGTTTACTAGGTAGTACATTTCAAACTTGTTTTTGGCAGTCTAGCCGTTTAGCACTGCTAAGCATAGAAAATATTTACTCGGCAATAAAAGGAGACCAGCCAAAAACTTATGTGATGCATGTTGCCTCTGACTGGTTCCTCACTGATTTTTACTCAGCAGATAACTTTAATTTGGTTAGTCTTCATATCTGGTTAGCAGCTCCATAAAACGGGACTGAAGTGAATAATACTTGATCTAAATGAGAAATGAACACTACGTTGGTAATGTCATCAACACATGTTCTCAAAAACATCTTAAGGTGCATGAATTCAACCTTTTTTTTGCTTCAATTTCAGTGTTGTCAATTTTATGTTTATATACATAAACTACGGAGGAATCAGGAACACTGAAAATGTGGCAACTATGAAAATACTGGCTGCCTGAAACCGCTTGTGTCTTTTGATGGACTTTTAATATGCATTGTCTTTTAAAATTTCATGGTTTTTCTAATATAATTGGTTTTTTTTTTAAATTAATTTTGTTTTTCATTTACTTCTTAGATTTAGAGTCTTCAACTTCAGAAAAACCAGCCCTTGCAACACCTAGCTTTGTTAGTCTGTGGAACTTACCGTAAGTCAACCCAAATTCTTCATCAGAAATCAGTCAATTGATCATAATTAGGAACCAGACTTGGTTTGAGACTAACTGGCAAAATCTGGATGATTTCTTGGTCTGTCGTTTCTTTAGCCAGTTTCTTTCTGCTCACTACAACTGTCCTCTGAATTCATAAGCAACAACTTCAGCAGACTTAGGCTGATGAGCTGTTAGACTCATTCAATTATTATTTTTGAACAATGCTTCCTATTTGTAGGTTTGGTAGGGTTTTCCTCTTGTCTAAAATGCCCCTTAACCCATGACCTAGTACGCCCTCAACTGGCATAAAATACGTAGACTGCATGTGTCAGATAGTAGGGGTCATGGGGGTGTTTTAAGAGGTGTGTGGCTGGGTTGGGTCAGCTGTGAAAACATGTATGTATTTCTTGTCAGTTTTCACTAGTTAGAATGGCTGTATCATAATTTGTTCATTTCATGTCATGCAGTCGGTACTGATAACTTCCACCAACTGAAATATTGTGACCAAATATCTACTTAAGAGTGGCACAAATAGAAGAAGGACGGGTCTGACATGTTTGGCCTTACAATTTCTAGTGTTTATGGTCAACATATTGTTTATTACTTGATTCATTAACAATGACATATTTACAATGCAAAGTTACCTTGTACTGTGTTTGAAATTTAATCTTCTTTTGTTTAAATGCAGAATGCTGAAAGAAGTAGCAGTGTCAATGTTTTGTGTTAAGATTGTACGATACTGCGTGTTCATGTGGCTGCCTATGTATCTACATCAACAGGTCAACATACGCGTTTTTTTCCAAAAAAATATGTACATGTATAGGAGCAACACTTGAAAGCCTAGAAGTTGAAAATTGCAAACACTTGTTTTGTTGCCAGTGAGCAGCTGTCAAATTCAGTTGGTTTGTTGGCTGAAAAAAATGATAATCGTAGAAAAGTTATCAGGGTTCGGTATTGATTTGATTAAATAGTGGTAGTAACTGAAGTGTTTGCCATAGTAATTTGGACAGTCTGGTGTTTTGGTATTTTACAAGTTTGAGCTAATTAAGGGGATGATGAATGGTCAATCCCCTCTTTAAAATATTAAGAGCCAAAGGAATAGACACAACCATCCTACTTTTGTACCAATAGATGTTTCCCTTATGTAGTTAGTCCTTTGTGTCCTTACTAATCCTACTGTGAAAAGTATGAAAAAGTGAATCTGTTTTCAAAAACAAACCATTTAAATGCCTTTTGCAAGATATAAATGACTGTTTCTACTCTACATGTAGTTGCATTATGGGAAGACAGAATCGGGCATGCTCCCTACAAGTTTTGAGATTGGAGGAGTTATAGGCAGTGCATCATTGGGTTGCTTAATTCAAAGGTAAGAAGTTGTGAGAACTTTTGTGTACCCCCTGGCTGTCTAGCAGTAACTGCAGATTAATTGGTTCATGCACATAACAACTTACTGGAAAGAGTGCAGTGAAAAGTCATGTTGTTCTTCAAATCCTTGTCCATTTTCGCGACACTACGGTGTCATTGCAAAAAGGTGATGCTAACCATGCAGGACAATTTTTATGGCTCTATTGACCAAGTTCTAAGCTAAGATATTTATGATGAGCATTTTGCGTTCTTAGAATTTCGCTCAGAATTTCTTTGCTAATCCAGTAAGCATGGATGCCTAAGTGCCAGGATGTGTTCATGTTCAGAAGCTGTTAGTCTTGATGAAGTTGTGAACCCTATTAACCTCTTGCAAAGAAAAGAAAATACTTTTATAGGGCTATGAATAAAAAACTTCTCTTTGAGGAAAACCAGCTCAAGTATAATGTTAAGTTACTTGAAACAAATTGGACACTTTGATCTCAGAATTGGGAGTAGTTTTTGCACCTTTTCTTACTCTCTCTTTCCAGGTTGTTGAGGGGACAGTTGCTACTTGGCAGCGGTCTAGCCATCCTTGCTTCCACCCTCAGCTTAGTTTGTTTTCTTCTCACAGCCTCCTGGGGAGCAGTCTTCAATGTCACTCTCATGCTGATAGCTGGGGCCTTCAACTGTGGCGTAGACCCCATCCTAAGTGGATCTGTACCCTCAGAGATCGGGGAAATGGATGGTCGAAGGATTCAAGCATCCGTCTCAGGATTTGTAAATGGTTAGTAAGCTTTTACTATTCTAGTTGCAACAATTGCTTGTTACATTTCTGTTGAGATGGTAAGCCACTTTGGTCAACTATTAAGTGAATACGCTATGTCTAGATACTTGGCTATGTCTAGAAAGAACATGCAGGCCTATGAAAGCCTCCCAGCAAGTGCCATTATACATTTCCCATACAGAAATGTGTCCTTTCAAGCCATGGACAAGCAATCTGGATATTGCCATATTTCTACAAAGAAAAATTTTAAACCAAATCTGGAATTACTTATAGCAATTAGTAATAATCTGATTAATATTGTGCACAATATGAATGGTGTTAGATATACTAGGAAGAGCATAAAACAGCACGCAGACATCCAATTCTTGTTTAGATGTCCTGACTGATGTTTGCAGTTTCTTTTTGAAAGGTTTTCTGTCTTAATTTTTTATGGTATGCAGGTTTTGGGAGTCTGGGTACCGTCCTTCAAGGGCCTATGGTAGGGGCAATTACTGAGTACTACGGTTGGTCTGGTATGTTGTACTTGATCATCACCCTGTCTCTTCTAGGCTGTATAGCATCACTGAAAGGATACCTGATTAGCACCAGACTGAGGCAACGAAGTACCACACGGAAACATGAAATGTGTGTATGACAGTAAGACTGTCACTGAAGTAGGAATGATGGAGATGTGTTCCAGTTATCTACAGGTGTCTTGGATCTCAAGTAATTTGCTCTTCATAATTTGCTCTTAAGAACTGCCGTGTTGGAACAAAACGTTCCATTTGTAATGAGAGTACCTTTCCTGTATACTGTGAACATTTCTCAGATGCTTGGTAAAAATGTATTAAGCGGCAGAAATTGGCCAGTGAATCTCTCTTTTGGCCCAAGCCTGCAAAAATTGTGTGGTGTACATGTATCCGTTGGTAAGGTTAAACATGAGTGTACCAGCTGAGTAATGCCAGATTTTCACTTTATGTACTCTATCATGCGTAATCTTAGGTTGTGATGAAACTGGTCAGGCCATGACAATGCAATGTCAGGCAGTGGCTGTGTTCTGGGAATAATACTCTTTGCCTAAGAAGTGCCAAGTATAGTCTGCAGACATGAACATCACTTTGTGTAGTAGATGTAGTAGGATTTAAGTTCAGGCTATTCATGGTGGAAGACAGCACTAGGTGGAAAGGCTTACGGTAGCACCATGCGAAGGAATGTATCTCTTATGAGCATGTGTGGTTCTGAAAAGAAACGGGAGTATACTCAACATTTCAGACTGCGTGCTCAGTCCGTCGTCAGGAGACTGAAGAGATGCTGACGGACGACGGACTGAGCACGCAGTCTGAAACGTGGAGTATACTCCCGTTTCTTTTCAGAACCACACATACTCATAAGAGTTACATTCCTTCGCATGGCGCTACCGTAAGCCTTTCCACCTATAGATGTAGTAGCCACCTTGAAATTTGATGTGAAAACAATTTTATGGATCATTTGGCCATGTCTTGGCCAAGTTGAGGACTGTTGTTAGTCCTGTGGCAGAATTCCAGTCGGCTTCATCATTTATCACACAGCAAATTTCAAAAGTGGTAACCTGTACCATTTGTAGAATGTCTGAAATGAGTTGACCTCATGACCGCTCTATGTGACGCACCAAGTAGAAAAACCCATTTTGTCTTTCTTGAATTAAGCATTTCTGGTAATGAAACCAAGGAATCCTCAAAAGTGGCCAAGGCACTGAAGCTTGTAAGCCTGAAGAAACCTGTTGAGACAGTGAGCAGTGGGATGAAAACCTCAGTTAAGAATATTGTGGGTAAAACCTGTATCATTAGATAGGGACTGAAAACCCAAGCCAATCCACACTGTGAATCAAGCAGGGAGTCAAACCTCAGACACAGAAGTCAATGTCAATCTGACTGCCCCTATTTCTAGGGATCCTTTATGTTGACATTATGCACTGATGACAAATCTGTTCATCCCATATAATTTTTGAACAGGAAAAAATGTGCTTTTTGCTAACACTGTACATGTGCAATATTTGTGATGATGAACTCAAAGAATAAGCTTTCAAATTCACACCAGAATCTCAGCATAATTCAAATTTATTGGTTACTCAAGCTTAAATTTGACATACACTGATTACTGGCTTTACACCAATATCTACTAAAGCGCTTGTTAGTTTACCTGTAAGCATTGGATCTTACATTTGTTGGTAGAATTTACTGTCATGCTTAAACAGGGAAAATGCATAATACAGCTGATATTATTTTCAGAACTCAAAGGGGATCTGATTTCAGAATCCCAAACTCCTTGAACTCTTCATTTCCAATTGGTTTAATTTTTTGTACACGACCACCCGTTACTCTGTCTGGTGAACATTTGGAGCTGTGTCCTTTTCAAACCACAACAAAATCTTCCAGAATTGGGAGTAATGCAAGATACGACTTGCACTAAATAAATGCAAAGCATATTGTGCCTAACTATAAATCTGTCATCCCCTGCTGAATAATTTTTTTTCTCAAAATGGGAAGGGAATGTTGATTTAATTGAAAGGTAGATACTGGGCCTAATATAAGTTGCTGCCTTGACAATTTGACACAACCACAGCGGGAAGAGATTATATGCATACAGAAAACCCATGAAAGCCAAGCAATGTGACGATGATTTAAGGCATTGATACGATTCATTCAGTTGGTCAAATAGATTCAATATTTTACATTTTGATGGGATACCCTTGTGATACTACTTTTTAATCCATGTGAATGAATAAGTGAACATAGTTTTTGACCGTTTTGTCAGAGATTCTCCAAACTGCCAATTGAATTTGGCAATAATACCTTAAATAGTAGTTTTTCAAAGGAAAAGACAGAGTCAGAACTTATTATCTAAACAGTAAGTTTCATCTGCTTTGAATATCCACTAGAAATTCACTGAATATTCAAGATTGGTTAACCCTTTCAAACATTGACTGGATGCCTAATGACTATTCATAAGTTTAAATCCATACACTGTTAACATAAGGAGTACAATGTGTCAGCTGATCAAACAGCTCAAAGCAACAAGACGACCTCTGACCTTTAACCCACTGCGCAAGAGATGATCTCACTGATTACTGGATCGGTGCTCCGCACAGTAATCTGCATGGTAACAGTGTCTTGGAGTACCAGCTTTGCTCTCACCAAGGCATCGTGACCTCCACGGAACACCCCAGCTAGACAAAGGGTGTGAGAACTCTTACCCTCAGTGACTTTGTCAGAGCGCTCACAAGGTTGCATACCTAGGAATCCAATGATGTTAGTCACTGCCTCTGCAGAAACAAACCAAACCAAACCAATCAAAAATTGTCACAAATGTGCAAAGTTCCAACATGTCCTTGATTCTCTGTAATTTGCCAAATGCACAACCTTTCCAAAGTATCTGACTAATATAAACAGGATCAACATTTAAAACACATTATGTTCCATTGCCCATAACGTCCCATAAACTCCAAATGGAAATATG